CAGGGTTTAGGCTTACGGGATTTATGGTAGGGCTGCACTGGGAGGATAGGGCTTACAGGTTTAGGAGATTGGGCTTTGGAGTTCGGAGTTTCGAGATGATAGACAAGTGGGGGTCCTTTGTCTTGGCTCCACCACAGGAAGAGGAATCACAGCATTTGGGGGTATCGAATTAAAAGCAGGGCACGCGTACATTTTGGGATAAGCCCCGTCCAGCTAAGAGGAGCCAATGCGCCTTCCAACAACCTTATAGTAACAGATGTACGGGTTGGAAAGGCGGGCGCACCTCAGAAATTCATATCTGCGCTTGACTAAGCTAGGTAGGGCTTTGGCATTAGGTTTGAGGTTTGCAAGATGTTTCAGGTAGCCCCATAGTTGCCTGGCTGTACGATAGCTTTGGGCAAGTCAGGCCGGCCCTAACACACGTATGCTGAGCCTGATGGAACTCAAACAGACATGTGCGGAACAATGTCTCAGCTTGGGGTTTGCGGTACAGGGTTCATAAGTCTCAGGCTAAGGGCTTACTCAGTTAGGCGTCTAGGGCTTCGCTTTAGGTTTTATAGGGCCTGTGCCAGACTGGTTCCTCAAAGGCCAGTAGTTACAGTAAATTCTGGATCTGTGACCCAAACCCTCAAATCGTTAGGCAGGTCTTACTCATGTGCAATTCTAGATTCTAGAGCTCAAGTCTGTTGTTAATGTGTCTTCGAAGCAGGTAAATGAAGGCATGAATGCTTGTACCTGTGGTTGGGCTATCCTAGTAACTTGAATAACCTCACCTCTCCACCCCAACTACCCATACCTCCCTCCATGAAGGAAAGAAGGCTTCTGCACCTGCCCTTAGTCGTAATGGTGGTTATTAGGGAATGAGGGAATTTGGTATATAGGGATTATATAGCGACTGCATGCCCTTGTTCCCTTCTAACCCCCAGTAAGGTACACCTTACGACTATAACCTTCCTTTGCTCATTTCCAACAAGAGGCAAGCAATCACCTCCTCTCCAGATCAAACGTCCCCCGCCCCCAGGACATTGAATAGATCCGTACCCATAGAAAGTCCCTTCTTGGGAGTAGTTGCATAACATCAGGGGGTGAGCAGGCTGAATGTTAGGAGGAAGGAATTATCTTACCCATGGTTAGCTGGGAATGAAGGAATGGAAATGAACATATTATGATGGGTTTTATAGGGACTTTTATCAGGAGACAAACCCTAGACCCTAAACCCGAAACCTTAAACCCTACAGCTTCAACCCTGAACCCTTAAACCCTAAACCCTGAACCCCAAAACCCTAAAAGCCCTTAAACCCTAAACCCTAATCTGAAGTTCCAGGCCGGATGAGCTTGTCGTTCCGGGTCCAGGAACCTACGAAAGGCCGGGCCGCCAAGCTGTCTTGGGTTTTTCTTGGCGGTGACGTCCCCAGCGTAAGCTTAAGGGTTTAAGGACCCAAATACGTATACTAAAGCTTTAGGGCCCAAATACCGTGCATATTATAGTATTTGGGTCCTAAAACCCTATTATTTGGTTCCTTGGACCCTTAGGGTATGGGTAAGAAGCATCCATGCCGCGTACAACGTCCTTCTTCGATGTATTTTGAGCAACTGCAGCGGGACTTTGCCATCTTGTAATGCCGTGACCCTGAACCCTGGACCCCCGACACACCAAAACCTAAAAATCTTAAACCTTGCAAGCTCACAATCTCAAAGCTTGCAGATAATATGAAGCACAGCCTACACCCTGAACCCAAGCCCTATACGTTCTATTCAGCAGCCGAAGTACCTATACAGGAACCACTTCCGGTGAAAGTATGTCCTATGTAGGTACCTGCGCCCTTTTGAAGCCCGAATCCTCCAAAGCCCACTCTATACCTTAGACCCGAACCTGTAGTCCCGCTAAGTTTACTGCAAACAAGTAGGGAACCCCCAAGCATTAAAGGCGGGCAATCTTGTTTAGAGTCTCTTATACCTGGTATCGTAGATCATGCTGACTGGCGTTTTATGACATAGCTACCTAGACCCCTGGACCTCAAACGTATTCTCAGCATCATGGCGCAACAGCCATTAACAACCAGTCAACATGACCATTCTTCTACATTATTGTTGGCGCAGTTCCTGTAACCCAATTACCTACAGTTGAGTAGTAATTGCCCCTAAGGACTATAGGTATAACCCATTCAATTGGGGTTGCAGGTAACACTAAATACCCTAAATCCTAAACTATAACCCTAAAACCCTTAACCCTAAATCCTAAGTCCTAAACCCTAAAACCCCAAAATCCTAAAGCCCTTAGTACCCCGAAGGCTGAAGGCTTTACTCCACTCGTCCGGGGCCGAATTTTCCGAGCTCGGCCCCCATCCGCCCTGCCGGACCTCCGAGGATTCTGTGCAGGCGAAGATGATCCTTTAGGGTTCAGGGCTAGGGTTTACTCAAATCCCCAGGTAACTTTAGGGTTATATGGGGTTATATATTGGGTTTTGTAGGATTATAGGATTCAGGGTTCATGTAGGTATATGGTATATACTTAGGGCCCAAAGGGGTTCCCATATACTTACTTTAAGGCCCAAGTGTATCCCATATACCTACATGGACCCTTTGGGGATGATTGTTCAGGGTTCAGGGCGGTTTAGGGGTTTAGGGTTTAGGGTTCAGGATGTAGGGATTATAGGGTTTAGGGATGAGGGTTTAGGGATGAGGGTTTAGGGATTAGGGTTTAGGGTTAAGAGTTTAGGGTTCAGGGTTGAGGGCTAGGGTTTTCTGAAATCCCCAGGTAAAATAATGGCCCAGAAGCATGAAAAAACAGCCTGAAAAGGCTATTATTCTACATACTTTTGGGGTTCAGGTGTTACCCTGAACCCGATACACCCAGCTACCAGTAACGAACCCTAAGCCCCAAGACCGGGGGAGCTTAACCGGTTCAGGTAGAACATTTTTCAAGCCTGCATAATCAGGCCATATGAGCTTTAGTCTAAACTCCTTGAAGGTTTGTTATATATAGGGAAATGTACAGGGGAGTATCACAGGGGTTCTTCAGGGGCATACTAGTAGGAGTTTACCCAGACCCTCCTATGTAGTTCCTTTTTGGGTAGTATATTATAACCCCTTACCAAAAATCCATAACAGACCCAAAAAGGAACTACATAGGAGCCCTTGGGTAGACTATAGCTCATGCCCCCACGTTAGGTGCGTCTGGCTGGTGGCTGGTCCGATGTCACCCTGCACAGTGGAGCCAAAGCCATGCTCCTAAAGAGCCTCGGCATCCTCAAAGCTATTACTATTTAGGGTTTAGGGTTTAGGGTTTAAGGGATTATCCCCCTATAATGGAGAATCAAATGGAAAAGAAAATGGAAAATGAAATGGAAACTGGGGGGAATATAGGGGATTACTTGGAAGGTCATGGGGACTTAGTAAGTAGGTTGATTACCCCTATAAGTCATAGAATACCCCCAATTATCTCAGTATTGACTTACTTACAAAGTCCCCATGACCCTCCAAGCAAAGGTTTTAGGCTGTACCTGGACCCAGGATGTCCCACCTTTTTGGGCATATATCTTACAGAAGCGTAGGATAGAACCCTCAAAAAGGAAGGACAGCCAACGTCCAGGTGGGGTTCGAGATCAGGAGTTCCGAGTTGAGGGCTTAAGGTTTCGGGTTCAGCGGTTTGGACTGTGTCGCTGTGATGAACGGAAACTAGGCCACCTCAACAAGGAACCATGTACTATGTGCTGTATACCGTATATCCATATTATGCATTGTTTGTTGCAATTCCTTAGCGGCAACACTCTGAAGATGAGGGTTTAGGGATTAGGGTTTCTATACGTTAATCCATGGTGCACAGATTCTCTGATCCACCTTTGAGGGGCTAGGCCCGAAACCATACGCCTCGACTTGTAAATCCAAAGCCCAAATCCCTAGAAGACCCTAACCCCAACCTCTAGTTCCTAAGCCCCACCTAGAGTGACCTGGGTGTTTGTACCCACAGAATACTTTTTGTATCTTTTCATTTCTTCGTACACTCTGACTCCTACATCTCGAACATGTGAAGAGTAAGGTGTTTAAGGATTTTGGGGCCATGGTTTGTGTTCTTTTTTTAAGGTCAGGGAATCCGAATCCCTAAGCCCTATACACCCTGAACCGTAAACCCTGAACCTTTTTAAGCCTAAACCGCGCTAGATGCCGTGCGTCAGGACTGGCGCTGGCAGCTGGCTACACACCGTCTTGCCCGCCGTGCCTGGGATTTCTTGCATTTTCGTCAGTTTTCCTGGAGCCCAAACCACCGCATCGTCGCAACTCAAACGGGGCTTGCTAAAAGTTTATTTTGTATGGGTTCCTGCAAATGGACAGATATTTTTCACACAATTGTTATCCAGTTGTTCTTTGGATCACCCTGCTTTGAGAAACTCCACCATGTAGCAGTTTTCCCAACCTTGCGAGACTGCGCCTGAGGAGTGTTTTGTTTGGGGATACTAGGGTACCCATTATAGAGTAAGATTATATCCACCTTTTGGGGTATAGTATTTTATATAAGGAACATAATCTTACTAGGTTCAACCATCAAAAAAACATTACTCATTTGGCGTTTACGGAACGGAAAAGAAAATCGAAACTAATATTCAGGGGTTAGGGAACGGGAAAGAACAGGGAAATAGTTATTTAGGGTTGGTGTCGGGACTGGAAATGGAATCTATCATTTAGTTGTGAGGGACTGGGAACGCACATAGATTACTATTTGGGGTTTAGAGCTTGAGAGTTAGGATATGGACAGGCACACGGTGGTTCGGCTTGGGGATCTTATGGGGGACTTAAACACTACACCCTAGACCCCTAGAATTTAATGGACAATAGGGATAGCGATGCTTCCATGAAGAGATTCCGGGATGAACATCTCGGAGTTTAGGGACTTAGGGTTTGGGGGGTCTGGGGTTTAGGGACTCAGGGTTTGGGGGGTCTAGGGTTTAGAGGGTCTAGGGTTTAGGGTCGTTCCCAACTGAGAAATTCCTCTTCTGGCGCAGGTTGAGCCTGGCACTGCGCCGGTCCTGCCCTCCAGGCGCCTTAACTGGCGGATGCCGGTGGCTTAGGATTATACATGGTGTTGTATGGGGGCTTTGGGGGCTACAATCTACACTCCTAGTATCCCCCTTAATAATCCCAATATAACCCACTTGAAGGAGTTTAGACTATAGCTCATATGGGGTTACGACGGGTTTGGGGGCTATATTGATGGTACTTTGGGAAGATCTTGAGTTTCCATCATTGCTGTTTGAGGGAACCTATTCTAAATAGTGTTGGGTGGCCTATCAAGTACCACCCAGTCAAGGACTTAGGGTTTTGGGCTTTGGATTTGGCATGTAGTTCAAGGTCTTGGATTTCAGGTTTAAGGTTGGGGAATGGGGTGTGTCGGGCTGGTTTAACAAGATTTGCAGTGTTGAGGAGTCTAGGCTACGTGCTTTGCGTCGTTCGGGACAGAAGGCTATGTAGGTTCAGGTGTGGTATGCTTGGGGACCCTAAAGTCTACGCCGCGGGCCGTAAGCCCTAAACAGCTGCTCCAGAACCTGCTGCACATCTGCCGCCTTTGCAGAACTCCCAAGTAAGGCTCTAGACCCAAAACCCTCAACCTGCCTGCACCTTAGGAAAGGCCACTTTTTGCGGGTTCTGTCCTTAGACTTGTGGCATATATCTTCATAAGATTAAGGGTTCCGTATGGTCCAGGAACTCCCCCCTGAGCTTTCCAAGTTTTTGTCCGCAGAGTTTGTCATTATCTTGGCCGCTCCAAAGTAAATCCTAAGATTAAGGCCCGAAGCCCAAATGTGAACCTTAGACGTAAACCCTGAGCCTCGCCAGTAAGTTCCAACAATCCCGATGTACACTGCACTATTGTGGGACGTGTCTATATAACTCGTTTAAGCCCTGGACCCTGAACCCTAGTCCGTAACTGAAACCTGCACCATAATGACAATGATAACAATGATACTAATAATAATAGCAATACAATAATAGTACTAGTAGTACAAATAATACAAAGAGTAATCATACTGTTGATGGAGGAAATCTTGCACCACTTAGAGCCCCTAAACTATTGTAATTCCTAGGACTTTAGGGACTTAAGGTGGTGTAGGATTTCATCCATCAACAGTACGTCACACCTTAAGCCTGCCAACTAGACCTCTCGTTTGGCAGGCATCGTGCCCTCTCGAGGCGCGTTGGGGGTCGGGGGTTGTTATCGGTTTTGGGCTTGGGTTCAGGATCCAAAATTTAGGCATACAGCCTGAGAACCCAGGGAACATACGAGCTATAGTCTAAACTCCTAGTATCCACCTTAATAAGCCCCTATACTACTCCCCTATATAGTCCCCTATATACCCCCTTGTAAGGCGTTTAGACTCTAGCTCATATGAGGTGTGTAGGGACCATTATTAAGATTGGGTTGGGTGGAGCTGGATTTGCAAGCACGTGGGCCTTGTCAAGAAGAAAGCTTTGCCCTTCTTTGGATTAAAGCAGAGATGTACAATGTTCAGTGCACGGTTTAGGGTATAGGGTTTAGAAGGGAAGGGGCCAGAAGTCCAGGAGTCAGGTTCGACACATATTGTGAAATCTGAATATTCATAAGACATTGTAACTGCAACATGCAGACCATGAGGGTGTAAGTCCTAGACTAGTACTTTTGCTCAGAGGCCTAGTTCCCTGAGGCGTAGGTATGCAGGAGTTTCCTGCAACAGTGTGGAATCCATGCGCGACAAAGCGAACAGAAAGCGACAGCCCAATCTCACACTATAGTACGGTAGATATTAACCATCTTGCATGACCCTAAGTACCTTATACTGGTACTTTAGTATCTTATTATCTAACCCATGCCATTACAGTAGTTTCCATTTTTCTTTTCCATTATCCCTATATAACCCAATATATAAGCAGGATTTTCAGATTTTTTCGTATCAACAGTATCACATCTGGGCCTTCTGTGAATCCCTTCTGGGCAATTTTGTCACGTAGGATGCTGCCGGTGCCCGGTGCAGGTGGATAGTACGGGGGAGGGGAAGTACAAGAAAAATCATGACAGTCACAAATAAGTAGGGATATCGGCCCCGTATTTTGATGTAACTATCTCTATCCTACTTCAAGTTAAGGCTCTCGGCATTTTGCATGACTGTGTGCAATTGCTCATGCAGCTCCAAGAGTGACTGATGGATGGCCATGTGACAGATAGTGGCTTATGCGATCCAATGTATATTGCCCTGGCCCAAATGAGCTCTAGTCTAAACTCCTTAAAGGGGGTTATGTAGGGCATTATATAGGGGACTACTATGGGGCTTATTAAGGGGGATACTAGGAGTTTAGACTATAGCTCAAATGTGGCACGCCCTCATCCCCCAATTTTGCACATTCCCTCTGGTAGACGTTACATGTTGGGGGTAATTCTAAGAGAGGTTGAACGTAGTATGCACTCCCTGAGGGTTCAAGTACACAGTAACCGTACCTGCCACAAAATCTGTATTACGACAATTTCTAAGTGCCACAAAGCCAACACTTAACTATTGGGTACATGGACCCAGGGCTACGTTACATAAATAGATCCCTACATAAATCAAGTCTTCATTTCATTCTTCATGTTTTCCATATGAATCCCCATTAATGCCCTAAACCCTAAACCCCAATCCTTAAACCCTATAAACCCTAATCCTTAAACCCCACGGTTAAGAGCCGGAGCCTGTCTTCGACAGGCTCTTGTAGCAAGGTAGGGACAACCCAAGCTATAACCAGGTAGTGTCCTATAGTCTATTATAAAGGGCCATTTAAAGAGACCTCACCCGACCTCACCCTAAATGGTGGTTTATACAGGGAGTAGCGTGATTATAATGAGTTGGGAATTGAAATTAGTCTAATTCACCCTGTATTATTACAGTATGTAGCATTGTCTCCAGTTATAACAAGTCAATATGGCATAGTCTGTTTGTTGTATAGTTACTATTAGAGATAGCCCTCGTATATTCGTAGTATACCTACCTAGTTGTATAGTAGTAGTGTTTCGTCCGAACTGCCACGCCATGAGGGGTTGGACCCGCCATACAATCACATAAAATCCACAGGATGCGTAGGACCTAGGAAAATCCTCCACCATACTGCCGTGGACCATCCATAGAATCACATAAAGTCCATAGGGTACATGGGGACCGAAGGACAGATAGGGAGCGTACGGGATTGCAGGGCTTGTCGGAAGCCCAGGACCCACAGACCCTAAGTCCTGAACCCTAAAATTCTGAACTCCAAAGTCCAAAGTGTACAGTAGAGAGAGGAAACCTTGCATCACTTAGGGCTTAGGCACCCCCCCCTAGTACTCGCCATTGCGCACCCGCCAACTTTGGATGCGCAGAAAGCAATGCTCACTCATAGGCCGGGGGCTGCAGAGGGGGTCTGCAAAGGGGGAGTGGCGGGGGTTTTAGATTTTTACTGGTCCCCCTTAAGTAGATAGAATTATATAATAGGACCCCCATATAGCCCATATTCTATCTACTTAAGGGGGGTTATAGGGGCTTCCAAACACCCTGAGGCTGGATCAGCCTCGGCAAATTCCAGAGCTATAGGTCCTTTAAGTTGGTGCAACATAGTCCACACCCTAGCACTCATTTGAGTAGTATTTTATTTGGGGATACTATGGTACCCAATATAGAGTAAGATTCTATCCTCCTTTCGGGGTATAGTATTTTATATAAGGAACATAATCTTACTAGGTTTAACCACCAAAAAAACCATTAATTTGTATGCCGCCAGGTCTATCTGGTCCAATACAGTCGGCGTGTACGAGATTTGCCCTGAGATGTCCGAGGCATGTGATGCAGAAAATCCGCGCTCGGGCTTTGATTGTCTCAGATGGGAACATGTATACCCTAAACCCTAAACCCTTAGGGCCTGACTGGGGGGCTCTAGGGCTCTTGGGTTTCCTTTCGAGCTCAGGTTTCCCCTCTGAACGCAAAACCTTAGGAGGACCCCCCACCCTGTAATAGTGGTATAACAGGAATATAATAGGACCCTAATATACTCCTTATTATCCTTTCTAGCCACTATTACAGGGTGGGGAGTCTGCCTAACCAAAACCTTTCCACGCCTTGGAGCATAAGGTGTTCTACGCGTCTTCTTACTGCTTGGAGTGTTTTTTGGTTTCTGGGGTGGCAGGTAGGCTTTAATCGGGGTGTAGGTGTAGGCCTTAAACCTAAACCTCAAGCTCTGAATTCTAAACCGTGGGCGCTGAGACCCGGGTAGTTGCTGTGATTGTGGTTCAAAAGTGCTCGGATCTAGCTTTAGTCGGTGTGTCAGCGGTTTAGGGGTGGCAGGCTTCCTCATGCATGTGAGTGTTACAGTGACTCTATGATTGGGGGAGAAAAGACAGTTTTGGGGCTCTCACAGGGCTCTGGCGGCATCACATTCAGACTTCAAGGTGCATGGGTGGCAAGAAAGCACGCTATATCATTTTCCAAAATCTAGGTTATGGAGAAACTCCTGCACCAGCCCTACATAGCCCTAAGAATGGCAATTCCAGTACTGTAGGGGTGGTAATACGCGGAGCAAGATTTCCGAAATGGGGGACCCCAGCTTAGACCCTAGTACGCTATAATCCTTATTCCAGGGACCTCAAAAAGGTACCCCTAATTTTGGGAAAATTTGGATTGTGGTAGTGATAATTATAGAGCAAATGATTCTTGCCCACTTGGTCTGCAACGCAAACCCGAAACCCTAGACCCCCAAACCCCAACCCCTAAACAGAAACCCCTAAAAAACCACCAACCCCAACCCCTAAACTCCAAACCCTAAGCCCTAAACCTTATAAGCCCTAAACCCTAACCCCAAACCCTAAACCCCAACCACTAGACAAAAGCTGTAGCAGAGGCCAAGGCTAGCTTCGTCGACCATAAGCCGATCCTTGGTTCCAAATTTGGGTTTAGGGTTTAGGGTTTAGGGGTTTAGGGGTTTAGGGTTTAGGGTTTAGGGTGATCGCTTGTTTCACCCTATCCCGAAGGATCCACGAGGTTTGGGGTTTAGGGCTCAGGGTTTAGGCTTTTGCTCCAAAAAATTGGGTGGGGGATCGTTGAGGCTTCGAAGCGTACCGCCGCACCAGATCAAATCTTGAGTTAACAGTTTTTGCTCTTGAATTCACTCCCTTCGGTGGATGGCTTGCTTCACCCTACCCTTCAGGGCTAAAGGATTCAACCAATGGGTTTTAGGTACCACATACTATAATGTGAATGGTATTTGGTACCTAAAGCCCCAATATTTGGATCCTTGGACTCCCAGGGCACTGTGGAAAGCAGAATGATCCAAATCAACGCGAACACATGTCCTTACCATTACTTTTTGTGTAGTGCCATGCTTAGCCTCACTCTCACTTCAAAGGTTGTTATGCCTTCCACAATTTTGTGGTATCTTCTGATGACGCAGTGTCAGACCACGCGCCCACGAACATCATTCGAGCCAAACTGCAAAGACACCCCAGGCGAGAGCGATGTTGAGCCAAAATGCGCTCCACAAAAAAGCACCATTTCAAGGCATGAAGGCGTCAACATCGACAACCGGCTTGCACTTGCTGAGGGCTGTGGTGGGAGGTTCTGCCCCCAAGTTCTGTTTTGTGATGTTTCCCCGCGTTTCCAAGGAACGCTCGCTATACGCTATGTGCACGAAAGTCGCATCAGCCAATGTGGTTTGAGACATCGGGAGGATTTCGGGAACCGGTGTTTCCAGCACCATCGAACCCAAAAACAGGGATGCTGCATGCGAGAGTGCGATGGCAATTTGCTGGGAGAGGACACTCCAGCAGTGTGCTTTTTTGCAATCGAGCCACGGCTGTGACCCCAAGTTCACTGCTCAGGGGATTTCGCGACGGACCTTCCAGAATGCTCCATGCAAGAGCTGCAGAATCCGGCTGGGGCATCGAGCGCATATACTTCTCCTGAGTCTGGTATGAAGGCAAGATGACGCTGCCTCGGGAATTCTAGAACAAGTTCCTTTCAATTTAACCCTTACAGCCCGCTGTCCCACACAGCCCAGAGCCTTAGCCCTTCAAGCTTAAATCCCACAACCGAACCATGACCCGTAAACGTTGTGTCGACTCCTACTTCACACCATCCAAACCCAAAGGATAGATGTAGTTATCTAGGTATATATTATGTGGGTACAAAGGAAACCCTTCGAGCCGTAAGTATATACCATATCCCTACATAGACCCCTTGGGAAAAGCGCATCGATGCAGAATTGTCTCAGCATGGTCGGGTCCTGAAGGATGCTATAGAGATACAGTGGGGCTGTGCGTGCCCCTAAGGGTTTAGGATTTAGGATTTAAGGGTGTAGGGTTAGGGTTTAGGGTTTTTAGGGTTATGGGTTTAATAGGGATGGCGGAAGGTTCCCCTGAAGGATGAAATAAGGATGGCGCTGTATCCTGTGCGCTGGGCAAACTATAACGACCTCACCCCAAATTCAGGCTTCCTGTAGAGAATAGTCCCAGATTTGCTTAATTTTAGGTTCTGATGTTCTGGTAAGATGGCCAGATACAATTTCTACAAAGCGTCACAAGAACTTGTGTAATTCTTCCAAGATTGACATTGCAAAAGACCTATCTTGCTACTTCCGTTTTCGTGATTGCAGCCCTTGAGAGCAGCCCACGGTAGGCTCATCAACTTAGGGTTAAAGGTTTAGGGTCTCGGGGTTTAAGGTATGGGGTGTAGGTCATCAAGATCCTGTAAACTAGATGCTGGGCTTCCAGCAGTCAGGGCCCCTTTGAATGTATCCCCCAGAAGAGGCATTCAATATATTGGGGCGTATATTGGTGCTCCCTGAGGGCCCATATCGTAAGGTAGAGATAGGGAGCTGCTGCTATCGCTCCTCACATGCTGTGGGGCTGACGCTTGGGTACTTAAGCTCGGGTTGCGACGCACGTGGTGTATGCCACTTTAAGCTGCTTACATGGATTTGTTGCGCTTGGGTGTAAGGTAAGAGGAGTGAGCTATATGAACTCGCAAACCTTGTTAATTCGATTTCGCAAAGCAAGGCCTGTCTTGGCATGAATATCGGGAACCTTGTTCCATCAGGCTGTGTGTGGTGAAGGGAGGACTCCTGAAACATTTCTATGTGTGTTCCGCCACGCATATCAAGAGCAAATGTGGCGGGTTCCAGAATTAGAGGTCTCTCTTGGGAGTTCTGTATCGACAATCATAGTATTGGGTGTATATCAGCGGCACCACCTGTTTCGCGAAACTCCCATTTCCGCATCCTCAATTGAGTATGAGAAAGGCGAGGTGGCAGGGAATGCTTGGATAGGGAAGCCAAGCCATACTCGGGTAGAATCCTACAATTCCTTAAAGGTACTGTCATAGAGAATATTGCTGTAATATTTCGTAACCGACCTGCCTAGAGGAAACCTATCCCTGCACCCTCCATCCTGATGGGTTTGAGCCGCAAAAGCTCAGCCCTCAACAACGAAATCGTGATTGCCCAAACCCCACAGAGGTAATAGCCTATGGCTGCGATATGACTGCTTGAGGGTACTTGTTTTAGGGGGTTGGGGTTACCAAACTTACCTCATTGGATCCCCTAGGCCTGCCCTGAACACTGATTGACTTACTGGTGGCTAGTAGGGAATAAAGCAAGAAAATCCTTATGCCTGTATAATAGATTCCATTATTGCTCCCTACTAGCCTTAAACCCTCAACCCTTTCTATCTATATAACTTTTTGCTTTTCCCTCCACTAAGTTGAGGAAGCGATTCGGACCGGTAAAGTCTTTCGTGAACTCGCGGGACAAGTTTTGCCTCCATCGGGAAGAGACCTTCAAGTTGTTTGGCTGCATTTTGAGACCTATGCTTAGGGTTTAGGGCTTAGGATTTAGGGTTTGGGGTTTAAGGTTTGAACTTGCTGGTTGCTCGTTGTACGGAAAAAAGCATGGATACTATAGTTTAATGGCTGGCTCTGATTATGAATCCCCTCGTTCCCCCAAAACAATTAGATGATTTAAAATAATTAGAGGTCTCCCAAGTAAGCAGAGGAAAAATCAAACTGTTTGGGGGCGAAATCCTTTAGCAATTATTGCAAATTAGGGGTTCTCAAGGTTGTTTAGAGACTGGCTGGCTTCTCTTCTCT